GAAAGATTTGAGAATTTACTCATTTGTTTTTACCATTTATTGTTCCATACGATCATCTATTTTTATTAGTTATTACATCATGCAAATATTTTTTCCGTTGTTCATTATATCAAGATTCAAAACATATTACTAGTAGAAGGAGTTTATCACTAAAGATGCAAGGAAAGATGCGAAGAATACCTTTAACAGAAGCTAGCTTCTAGAGGGATGGATGCAATGTTGGTTAATGGTGGCTCCAACACTAATCAACAATGCAACTTTTTCTTTCTTCCTCTTAGTATTTTCTTCTCTTTTGAAACTTTTATTCTTCTTCTTTTTTCTTCTAATTTTGCTCTCTTTTCTTCTTCTCTGTTTTCAGATCTTCTTTTTTTAAATTTTTTCTCTCCCTTGCAGAAAATTTTGCTCTTTTATAAAAATTGGTTGCTACCTTCTCCTCAAAAAATTTTTGCTCTCTTTCAAAAAAATAAAAAAACTCTCCTTTTTTTTTAATGCTTTTTAGCCTTAGAAAAGGCCAAATTTCTACTCCTTTTCTTTTTTATGTTAAAAGTTGGTTATGAATTTTCTGGATTACCTTCTAGTATGCAGAGTTTTCCATTCCTGAAATTAAATATACTTTTCTAAATTTGCAAAGATCAATTATAATTTTTCTTAAAACAAAATTTTTTTTCCCCTCCCTTTGTAAAATAGGACAAAATATAACAATAAGAAAAAATAGAACTTTGTTTTATTTTTTTGTTTTTTCTTTTTTTTTTACAATAGTTGATATTCACAGTATGTAGGACTGTGCTTAATGGTATGCAAAGCTTTGCTTATATGTAAGATTGTGCATCTATCTTGGTGATTATAATTTAGACATATTATAGATCTCCTTCCTTTTTTATTCCACTTGTATTTGTTTGGTAATTTTAATTGAATGAGTTGATGTAAAGAAAAACTATTGTTTGACAAAACTTATTGTCAATGTTTGATCATTACGTTGGGCCTTCCATAGGCCTATGGCCAAGGCAAGGGCCAAAAAGACTCAACAGGCCTTATCCATACTTGTAGCACATTTAGAGGCCCACCACATAGAGGTCATAGGATCACACGTGTACATTGAGTTTTGGGATGGAGTCTCTTGTATTTTGTTGAATTTGTATTAGGCCATGTTTCAGGGCATGTATTCAGCCTAATCTCATCCCTTTTCTTTTTCTTTGTTTTTAAGCCCATTAAAGACCATTTTGGGTTGAGTTAGCTTGCCTATATATAGGCTAAGCTCCTGTGTATTTGAAGATTTGAGATTTATTTGATGCATTTTTCAGCAATGTCTCTACTTGAGTGAGTGAGTTGTCTCTGAATTTTCTTATTGAAAATTTTAGAACTACTTTCTTATCATGGATTCTTCTATATGGTGAGTGCATTGGTGCTTATCTCCAATCCTTTGGAGTGGCGCATTGCCTTATACTTCCATTTTCCTTGTTTTTCATTTGTGTATTCTTCTCTTTTTAGTGCTAGAACCATGAGCTCTTCACTCCAATTATTCAATCTGAGGTTGCAAGATCTCTTGGACGATCCTTCCTTTTCAGTCATTCTTAAAGAAAACTTCAAAGATGACATCGGTATCTTGTAATAAGTCTATTACTATCTACTTAAATTGTATTTATTTGTATTATGAATATGTAATTGATTTATTTTGCTTCTCCAATATTTATTGTTAGTACTATTAATGTTTCTACTTAATTAAACACTATTTCAATATTAAATGGAACAAATTTTAAAGTATGATACTATATTATTGGGGTGACATATAAATAAGAAGATTGCTATTATTGCATGATCATCGAATAATATTCATAAAAAAAACTTTAGACTTCTATTTGCTATTTTTTTTTTCAATTTCAAAACTTTATTTTAAACAAAATATTTTTAACTTTTAATTTTTTAATATTTTAAAATAATAGTAGTAGGTGCTTGGTATATAATCTATGTGAGAATGATACTAAAAAGTCTCAAACACTTACTTTTATTCCAATTAAAGTGCATTTACTTGTTAATTAAAAATTATATTTTTAATTATTTTAAAATTTTATATTTTTTAATTTTATTTTTTATTATTGTAGTATATTTAAATGGATCAAATAAATATTATTTTTTAAATTTAAATCAAAATAAAATAAAAATATTTACTTAAAATTAAAATTATGAAAAAATCAAATGTAAAAGGCAGAAAATTAATTAACAAGGGTATCCACTATTGCTAAAACAACCAGTTCTGGACTGACTAGTGGCATTGATTAAAGGCCAAATATATGGCAGATTTCCAACTGTATATGTAAATGTAATAATGATTGGGATTTGCACATGTTAATCAGCTAATATATTTTTATTATTATTTAATTAAGTTAAGAATGGAATGCTAATGAACAGCGTCTACTCGTTCAATGAGTGGAAAGACTACACATATATCAACTTAGCTAGTTTGATCAGTAATTAATTAGTTGTTCAGATGACACTCATCAACATACATTCCACAAGTTTTATTATTCTGTCTATGCCCATTATCAGACTTGATCACTGTGAGTCTAAATGTCGTGCCTTGTAATAAGAAATGGAAGATTCGAAGAACAATAGAAACACATGCACATTTTAATATATTCTTCAATATTACTTAACATTTATTAAAATTGTAAAATCATAATTTTTACTTTTTCTATCATTTTAATATTTTTTAAAATAAATTAATAAAAATTGATATATCATAATTATGTATAGTCTATTAATCTAGATAAAATTTCATTTATATTTTATATTATAATTATGATAATAAATTAAAATTTTTAAAATAAAATATTAATAATAATTTATGTTTTATGATTTTGTTATAACATTTTATTTGTTATTAAATGTTAAGTAATTATTATAAATTTAAAATTCTCAAAATAAAAACAAATAATTATAATAATTAAAATAAATTGAATATTATAATAATAAAATAATAACTTATTTAGAAAATAAATATGATTTGTTATTAAAATCATATAATAATTGTCTAATTTTCATGTTTAATATTTTTATATGATAACGAATGATTTGGTAAATAAAATATAATATTTTAAATATAAATTAAATTTGACAGTTATATATAATATTTATATATTATATATTTTAAAAGTTAATAAGAGTTTTTTCTTCTTATAACTTTTCTTTTACATTTAAATATTTTTTTATTTATTTTTTCATTAAATATTTTTTATTTTTTATTTTATATTAAAAATAATTAATTGATGATTACTTAATAAATATTTTATTTTTTATATTTAAATTATATTTTTAAAATTAATTTTAAATTAAATTAACTAATAAAAAATATATAACATATCTGTGCAATGCAGAGTATCTTTACTAGTTACTATCAACACAATGTACAACATTGTGCATGAAAAGAAAAATAGTTTCTTTCCAGCCTTATAAAATTTTTGTACATAATAATTTATAACTTTTTTTACAATCTATTAAAACAATAATAGTGAAATTCAAGAAATAACATAGAAATCAGGTCACACATAAATTTAAAACATCTCAAAATTAAATTATGTTGCATGAACTTTGATTTTGTTATAATAAAAGTTACATCTCTTTAATAATTTTAAAAATGAATGTATATGAGGATAAAAACCTGAACAGTTGTCCAAAACTATAGTTAATATATTTCTATTGTTCTAACTCCTCCCCTACTTTAGCACCTTTAGAGTTAATACCGGAGAGTTTTTATGCCTGCTTTATTAACATGTTGTAGCTTGTAAGAAATATGTTACTTGTGAAGTTGTACTTAATAAAAAAGAAGAGAAAGAAGCATGATACCTGGTGAGCTTTTGTTGTAATTTGAGTTGTTTGTTTGTAACCGCTCTGATTTACTTGATTTCGTAAAAAAAGAGCCTTACTTCTGGTCTCTTTATATCTTCAACGTCACTAATTCTACTTTTAGCACAATTCAAGTTAGTGCCAGCTTAGACCTCAATCTGATTTAATAAAGGCTTTTGGCTACGTGGGTCCATTTTTGTCTAATTAATAAAATTAAACTAATTTATAAGCAAAATATTAATAATATTCAAAATAATAATATTATATTAATATATTATATTATAATTTTTTATTTTTAATAAATAAAAATTATTTAAATATAAATTATATTTTATTCAAAACTTAAAATGATAAAAAAAATTCAATATACAATAATAATAATAATAAGATTAATCAATAAATAATATAATTTTAAATAAATTATATATAATAATATTTTTTTTAACTTGTCATGTATTTTATTTTTATTAGTATAAATACGTACCTATAAAAAAAATTTAGAATACTACACTACACACTAAATAATTATCTTATAATCTTCATACTTTTATGGTCTTAATGCACCAAAAACAAAAATCATACACTTTGAACCATGGTTCGCCTTTTTGTGTATAGTATGATAATCCGAATCCTAAATTGCCAGCATAGCTAAGCAACTTAGCCACACACCCTTTATTACTTATGAGCTATTACTTATGAGCTGTGTTACGTACACATGTATCACAAAACGTCACCAGTTTCTTAATGTTTCTTCATTCACTATCTTAGTTCTATGAAAAAAAGCTTAAAAAGTGATTGCATAAAGTTTCGGTTTTTATTTACTTTTTGATTTTTAATTGGTTACCGTTTGCCCCCATCAAACCATTGAGACAGATATGCATGCATGAAAATTGAGGAGAAGACACGACAAAACTCTGCCATGAAAAAGATAGAAACGGAAAATGGCAGTTACGAAGAGGAACCAAAGGCGTGAGTAAAGGCACAAAAGCTAATAATTCGCGGGATAGGCTTGGATTTTATTGAAGCCCTTTTTCAATGGAAAATGATAAATCCTAATTTACCACACTATTATATATTGTGCACAGAAAATACCTTCCAACTCAAACCTTGACTCAGCTTTGCTTCATTATTTTCAATTGCGTCTTTTGTTGACAATTCAAATGAGGAACAAGAATACATGGAAAAACTTAATCACCATAGCAATAGTGCTTGCGCTTTTGCTATGCTCGAATGGGATTGCAGAAGTAAACTCACAGAAGGTTACTGCGTTGTTTGTTTTTGGAGATTCATTGGTTGAAGTTGGCAACAATAACTTCCTAAACTCTATCGCAAGGGCAAATTACTATCCTTACGGCATCGACTTCAGCAGGGGTTCCACTGGGCGATTTTCTAATGGCAAATCCCTTGTTGACTTCCTGGGTAAATGAATTACTCTTACAATGACTATGCATTGCATGCATCACTATGGACACATCACACACCCCTTTTTTTTCTCTTCTCTGAGCATGTTTTTTCGTTAGTAAGCTTTTGTCATGGCAAGGAGTGTTTAAAAAATCGCATTATTATATAGGATATAGCATTGAGCTTAAATTTATGCCTCTTCTCACATTCTTAACTGTAATTTTTAAATTTACAGGAGACATGCTGGGTGTTCCCTCTCCTCCACCTTTTGCAGACCCCTCCACTGTTGGATCCAGAGTACTTAATGGAGTCAATTATGCATCAGCTTCTGCGGGCATTCTTGATGAATCAGGGCGACACTATGTACTTTATTCACTTGTCTTCATTATTGTCTAATTTTTCATTCTTGCTTTCATCGAGAGATCAAAATATAGAATTTCTATAAAATGGTTTTTTAACCACTGGTGCTGGCCATCATAGTGGTGTCCCCACTTTTTGGCTTTTGAAGTGATATAAACAGAGAAAAATATATAAATAAAAGTAATAATTTATAAATATACAGCATAGGCGTTTAAAATAGTAATTTAAATAACATAATTTCATCTGATAGGATAAGATACGAACACGAGAAATGTTGAATTATAATAGAAAGTTCATGTTTGGAAAACGAGTATGACTCAATGTAGGCATGATAAAATATTACGATTTATCTAATTATCATAATATTCCAATTTGCTTGGTATAAAAGGTTTTAAAAAAAGAAGCAAAATGCAGATAAGAAGTAATGGAAGTGTCCAAAATGAATATGTATGGAATGTGTTTGTGCTTGCTTATTGTATATACCAAAAAAGTGCATTATTATACCAATAAAGTTGTAGTTAATTTTTGCAATTTTATTTGCATATAGTATCTAAAACATACAGTAACGTGATGCAGGGTGATCGGTATAGCCTGAGCCAGCAAGTCCTGAACTTCGAGAGCACACTGAATCAGTATAGGTCAATGATGAATGCGAGTGCATTGAGTCATTACTTAGCCAAATCAATAGCAATTGTGGTGAGTGGAAGCAATGACTACATCAACAATTACCTACTGCCTGGCTTATATGGCTCCAGTTACAATTATACAGCCCAGCAGTTTGGCAACCTTCTTGTTAATAGCTATGTGCGACAAATTCTGGTAATTTTTTCTAACAAGTTGAGATTTAAAGAGATTAAAGTTGCTTTTGGATGTAGCGAATTAACTTGTATTGTTGCAGGCACTACATAGCTTAGGATTAAGGAAGTTCTTCCTAGCAGGAATTGGACCACTGGGTTGCATCCCAAGTGTACGAGCCACCGGTTTAGCCCCACCGGGAAGGTGCGTTGACTTTGTTAATCAGATGCTTGGAACCTTCAATGAAGGGCTCAGATCAATGGTTGATCAGCTCAACAAACAGTATGCTGATGCCATCTTTCTGTACGGTAACACTTATGGTGTCTTTGGTGATATCCTAAATAACCCTGCTGCCTATGGTAAGGTTTAACAGTTCATTCTTAAAACATGTACTAATTCATTGTGAAAATGGAGATGATGAAATGGTAATGGTTATCTTTTGCAGCGTTCACTGTTATCGATAGAGCCTGTTGTGGGATTGGAAGGAACCAAGGTCAAATAACATGCCTCCCATTTATGATTCCATGTGCAAACAGAAATCAGTATGTCTTTTGGGATGCCTTCCACCCAACACAATCTGCAATATATGTCTTTGCCTGGAGAGCTGTTCATGGACCGCTTAACGATTGTTATCCTGTTAATTTACAACAAATGGCTAACATTTAATCCACCCCATTATGTACTCTCGTTTCATTAATTTATAAAACCAAGAATTTACCAAAAATAACCTCAAGTACTGAAATTCTACATCTATTGTAACTGTAATACCATGATATCCAGTTTTCGTCACTTTTCGTGCACTGTTTATTCGTACTATCAACCGTTTACCCGAAGATCCCATGATAAAAGGGCTTAGCTTTGGGCTTCCACCCATTATTAATCAGAACGAAATAGATGTGCGTCCCAGGTTTTGTTTGTTTTGTATTGTTGAACTGCCTATCTGGGCTTCTTTGAGGCTTCAATCCTCTCTTGCTTCGCGGGCCTTTAGGCCTTCCTCTGAATCAGAGAAGACAGAAACAATTACAGTTTTTTTTAAAGAATTATTTTAGCCTAACAATATTTTTTATTCTCATAATCTTACTCTTAACATACATTTTAAATAAATAAGATAATTTCTATTATATCTCGTAAGTAGGAGGGTATACAAGTAAAACAATTATAGTCATTAATTTTACATTAATAGATAATTAGATTAGTAATTCTATTTAAAAATATAAATATTTTTTAATTTTTAAAATATTAGAAGAATTACAATTATTCATCTAAAAAGAATATATAACGTCCCTCAAATTTATTGATAGCAAGCATCTTTAAATAAATATGTCATCTATAGTAATAATCACTGATATTCAAATAAAAAGCAGGTAGAAAGAGATGGGATAAGAGAAGGAAAATATGACTAGAAGATAAAAATATCATTATACAAGTTTGAGCATAATCGTACGTGATAGCCTCCATGTAGTTATGCTACTATGTTCTCAACGACATTGATCATATCACTTGTCACCCTAAAATAAAATAAATTTTAAAACTTTAAATAGAGATGATTGTAATAATATTAATTTAAAAAGCTCTCTACTCTCCGTTTGGGTGTGTTGGGCTGGGAAGTGAGGCCCAGTAGAGGGCATTTGAATTTAAAATCCAGTTCAGTTGAAAATGGCGACGGGGGAGAGATTCTGAGTTTGGGAATGGCATCGGCTCTGAACAAGTTGAAATGGTTGAGCGGAGGCAGAGGCGGAGCATATGGCAGTGGATGGTGGAGTTATGCAACGGCAGCGGTGGGTGAGAAAGTGGGCGAGGAGGTTCCGAGTTCGGGAATTTGTAGGCCTCTCTCTGAAATACTGAAGGAGCTCAACAAGAAGGTCCCCGACTCCCTCGTCAAAACCCGCCACGAAAAGGATGGCTTCCCCGTCAGATACATTCCCTGGTTCCTTTTCTTCCCTAACCCTAACCCTATCCCTATCCCTATCCCTATCCTCCATTCCCCCCTTTCCCAATATTCTTATCACCACTTTCACTCTTTCTTTCAGGCATGTTGTGAACCGCATTTTGAACTTACACGCTCCTGAGTGGTCTGGTGAGGTTCGCAATATCACATATTCATCTGATGCCAAGTCTGTCTCTGTTGTCTACCGAGTTACCCTTTATGGGACTGATGCTGAGGTCTCTTCTTCCCTTTCTTCTTTACCCTAAATGCTCTATAACACATTCATCTATCATAACATTTCATCATCTCACATGCCAATCATGTGCTTCTGTCTTCATTAATGGATTTTACTGCTTTCTTCCTCTTCCACTCACCACCCAGAAGATACTCGTACTAACTATGTCTGTTGACTACATATATGCCTTTCAAAGTTAAAGCATGTGAAAGTATTTTACTCACTTTGGTTGATCAACCAAGTTTAAAATTACTCAGTGTTCTTGTTTGTGGACCTAAACTCACAGTTTGGTTCATTGAAGATTAACTTAAACCGACCTACAAATTCAATTTCATCAGTCCAACTTGGTTTTATCATATTTCTCAAGAACCAAGTTGTACTTTTTCTCTGGTTCAGTGCACTGATTCCAAATCCATTCATAAACCAGCTTATCAAGAACTGGTTCTGTTAATACCAATCTTTGAGAACTGGTTCTTCCCCAGACCAGAATGTGAAAAGGTCTTATTGGTATCAGCAGAGAGGCTCTTGCAACCTAATGGTACAGAGCCCTTAAACAAGTAGGAACATCATAGGGCAGGATCAGTCATTGAGTTTCCACCTATAATGATGACCCATTATGCTAGCATTGTAGAATGCTGACGTTCATTGCTGGAATGTGAAAGGTCTTTGCAGCACACCATGACATTATCTCTCTCTTTCTTTCTGGAAACTATTCTCAAACCTGTTGATACAATTTGGTTTTGGTTTGCTCAGTTGAAGCTGCAAAGCTGTTTGGTTACTGAATTGGTTCAGTTTGTGAATTGGATTGCAAAGGCCTGAAACTAGCTAAAAGGAGAGCTTAAGAACATGTTTTATGTTTTATTCCTCAATAACAAAATTTACATTTTGTGGAACTGCTAATTGCGTTTGCATCTTTGCCTTTTTAATTTCATGTTAGTAATTCTTGATTTATACTTTTTGCTCTTGTTCTTGATAATCTTTGAAAAAATAATATAGCTAATGGTGATTTGAGTCAGAAAATGAGACAAACAGACTTCAGTTGTTTGTCAGCTCCTGTTCATTCAATCTTCAAATTTATTCTGTTTTATTCATCCCCTAAATCTCATTTATTTCTCTAGATATTTAGGGAATCAACAGGTACTGCTTCGGTAGATGACACAAGTTATGGAGATCCTGTACAGAAGGCAGAAGCGATGGCTTTTCGTAGAGCTTGTGCACGATTTGGGCTGGGCCTCCACCTTTATCATGAAGACGCATCATGATCAAGTGGTTCTGCTTCTCAGGTTCAATGTCTTGATGATTGCCATTGTTTCTTTTTTGTTTTTAGGCTATGATCATATGCGAAGAGATGGCATAGCAACGTTAGTACTAGAGGGAAGTTTTTGTTACTTGCAACTTGGCAGTGGCTTACTAAGCTTCAAACTGTGTAGGTCAGGTTTGCCATATGTTGGATCTTCCGGGATTCTCCATTTATCTGCTATGTAGTATGGAGAATTGATGTACTATGCGCTTTTGATGTAAAACAGTAAAATATGTTTATTAATTACTAATAGCACTTTATAGCCTAAAATGCATGTCCTAAGTTTAACTATGATTTTATTAGCAATAGGGAATGTGACCTTGTTCATTGTGTATATCGTGAAGGAGGATGTTAAGTGTCCTTAAAGTATTATTTAAGATAGCAAAAATAGAAAATATTCAAATGAAAATTACATATGTTCGTGGAGGGTGAGCAGGAGTGAGAATAAGGAAGACGAGGCTTTAAAGAATATAGTTAAACAATTGCGATTCTAAAGCCTTTGGAGAAGTCTTTTCTAACTTATTTTGTGTTACAGTACCTAAGCAAAAATGAAAAGAAGTCTCGAATCGTATCTTGTAGGAGTATTTCGGACAAATCATGTTTGAGAAGCTTTGTATAGCTCTCAAAAAGTTTTGAACTTTGTAATATCAGTCTACCGAGTAAGTTTCTAGATAAACAAATCGAGCCTTTAAGAAAAAATCAAGCTTGGAAAAAAAAAATCTTCATCAAATAAATCAGTGAAATATAAATTTTAATTTTAGAAAATAGACCAGATGACTGATAACTACTAAAAAATCAACTCATGCAATTCAAGTGTCTTAAAATGGGATGGTTGGAGTTTTTTGTTTTAAGGGTCAGTAGTTGGAGTGTGTCCGAAAAAGCCAAATCAACCGGTTGAGATGCTTCAAATGTACTCAATTGAACCCTTCTTTTTTTTTTGGGGGGGGGGGGGGGGGGGGGGTTCAAAATTGAACCCTCTAATATTGGAAGAATTGTGGAGCAGTGCCAAAAGAGATTGGGCTGCAGCAATGTGTCTGAAAATGTGGGGCTATGGGGACCAAAATTCCACTATGGCACTGTTGGATTTGAGTCTAGCACATGGATATCAGCATTCTCTTCTGACGGAGTGAAAAGAACCGTGCGGCATGCAGAACTCCATTCACCACCAAAAAAAAAACAAATGCAGAACTCTATTATAATATTATTATTGTAAAATCGCCTTTGTCATTCTAACCGAGAGAGAGAGAGAGATCCCCTCTACTGTTCTAATCTTTTGATTGCTTCTCTGTTTATTAATTTACAAATCTAGAGAGGTGAAGCCCAAAATGTGACATCCTCCTTACAATAAGCAAGATACTTTAAGGAAGACACTGTGTTATAGAGGACTGGCTCATGACCAAAATAAAAGAAATGGCTCTGGGTAAATGGGTTGCAAGACCCTCTGTTATTGATTAAGGAAGGTTCCAGCTCTTGCTGTGATCAGGGCAATGAACCATGATGAATTATTAATTGAGTCCAATTTTGTGGTTTTACATATTTGACTCCTTCCTGAACTAAATAAACATTATATGTGCATGCGCGTACGGGTAAAGTGTAATACTTAAATTTAACATACGTTGAGTATTTTGACCAAAAATGAAATTTACATGTTAATATTTAATTTCCTTTTTGTTTTGAAAATTTATTTTATCAAATACATATCAAAACAGTATATTATACTGTTTTAAAATTAAAGTCTAATTTATTGAGTTTAAAATTTTGTATTAGTATAATAGTCAGTATTAACTCATTGAATTCTAATAACTTGTGATCTCTAAATTAAGTTGATTTTGATTGTAGCTCTATGTAAAGAGGCCTATCTTGATCACATCTACTATCCGAAATCATAAACTATTCTCTAGGATAATATTGGTGACTGATGGTTGTGAGTAGGACTTGGTTTCTGTTCAATAACTTGCATTGAGTTCTCATCATATCACAAGCTTTATGGTTATAATAAAAGTTGAAATACATAAATTAATTTCTTTTATAATGAATTTATCTAAACTGAGCGTATATAAATTAATTTAAAGATTAATAATTGAACGTATAATTAGCAGAAAAAGAAAAGAGTAGTAGTGGTATGTGGGGGGAGTGCATTTGAAAGAGAGATGGAGATCAGAAGGGCAGTGGCGTGGGGCCGTTGACAGGGTGCGTGGGTTATTACAATTATAAAGATAATGGGAAAGAGAAGAGAAGAGAAGAGAAGCATCAAGCATGTGTTATGTTATGTTATGTGTGTAACAAATAACCATAACTATAGGAGTTGAGAGTATTTGGTACACTTGTTCTTGTGTTTGTAATATGGAAATTGAAAGAGAGAAAAGAAATGGTTGGTGTGCGCTGTAATTGGTTGAGTCGGTCACACTCTCTGCTTTGCTCTGCTCTGCTCAGTCTTCATTCTCAACCCAAAGTTGGAGACAGCTGCGCCTACCCCACCTGCCAGATATGAATTCCCATTTTCTATTTCCAAATTCTCTTTCTTTTTGGTTTCATAAACTCCTTCTCCTTCGTCATCAACCTTTTTCTTCCCTTTCATTTCATGCCAATATAAGACCCCACATTGTTTACTTATATCACCACTTTGCCATTCCGTTCATTTGCGCCACAATAACCTGTCGGAGCCACGTGACTCGCAGCTCGCCACATCCAAGACTATCATTGCAACCTTAGAATTCTCGATGGATGAGAATGACAGCAGAAATGACACACCTACTTCACTGTGACAACTTACCATTCATGTTTCTCTATCAATTCACAGTTAAACGTTATGCTTTTTTCTTTTCAATTTTTTTATGCAAAATTTGGATTATTTTCACAAATCATTAGTTTTAAAGGCCGCAATCATAGGCGCTGCAGGCTTTTTTATAACTCCACGGCATGTTTCACTAATATCTATTATAGATCGATGGCAAATAGTCGTAGAAATAAGTTAGGTTGAATCTGGTTTTATAAGATTTAATTTTTTTATTCAAATTTAAAGTTTAACTTTTTATATTTAGGTTAGTATTAAATTTTAGTTTAATATATAAATTTTTTTAAATTGAGAGATTTACTGCTTCAACTTATATAGAGATCAATAAATTTAAATCAAATAAAATAGATATAAAATTTAAAAATATTAAAACAATAATAATACTAATAGCAATAATAAATTTGTATGATATTATATTACTAATATTTATTTAAAATATCAAATTGTTAAATATATAATTTTTTTATTATGCAAATTTTGATTTATTTAATTAGATATTTTAAAAAAATTAATAAAGCTTATTTAATAAATATTTTTTTATTTTTTATCTGATTTAATTTAGATTTGACCAATATCGTACGCTGAATGTGGTGAATGAATCTACCACTAAATTTTTTACATAGAAAAAGATTCTCAAAACATTAAATAATGATTCTAACTTATTAAATAAATAATTTTAACTTAAATATCATCAAATATATAAATTAATGGGCAGGAAATTATTCTAACTTATTATATAAGGATTCTCAAAACATTAAAAATCTTTTGTTAGTACAATTTTTTTAAAAAAATATATATTATTAATATAAGAATTTATACTAGCAATGATTTACATTATACTAATATTTAATATATTGATATATATATATATATATATATATATTAGCATGTTATATTCATAAAATTATTTATTCATACAATATATTTTATTGTATATTTTCTTAATTTATATCAATATTTTCATTTTTTTATAATATATATATATATATATATATATTAAAGTTATTCTAATGTTTAATTGTTGACACGTAAAATGTATGATACATGGTTCACCATTTTTTATACTTTAAATATTTTTTAAAAATTATCGATAGCAATTTTTAGTATTTTCAAAATTTTTTAATTATTTTATGTTTAACTTTTTGTATTTACATTAAAAATTGTTAATTAAAATTTGTGAGTTTTCATATTTTTGTATATATATATTTTTTAAATACCATATAAAAATAAAAAATATATAAGGAAAGGATTAAGTTATTTTAAAAATTGTTTTAAAATGAATTACTTTACTTAATAATTTTTTTATAAATATTAAATTTTATTAATTTAATATTTTATAAAAATGATATATTTATGTTCATCATGTATATCAAATTTTAAATGAATTAAATATTTAAAAATATGTAATTTTATAATTAATATTTTTAATAAATATATATTAAAAACTAAAATAATTTTTTTGATAAACTATTATAAATAAAACATGCTATTTAAGAAATGAGACATTTAATAGAGCTAGTATTTTTCAAACTAGTCACATGTATTCTTAACTAAAATCTACTTTTTTTCACTCTTAGTTACATATACTTTTTAGGATGAAAATTAATTGAAAATAAAGTATGAATTACATCCATTTTTTTACAATTGTTTTAATTTTTACTTAAATTTTTTTTTATTAATTTCATTCTAAATTTTGGAGATAAAAGTTATTATTTATTATTTATTATTTATATTACTTTTTTTATAATTTAAATTTTTATGTGAGTTATGTTTACATTTATAATTTTTTTACTATCTTATATTTCATGATTATAGAGTTAAGTTAAAATAATTTAAAAAATCATTATTAAAAATAATTTTATTCTATATATATTATTTTAAAATTTTATTATTTAATTATATATATATAATAGTAATATATTGTACAAACTATTAATTAGGTAATTTTTTATTTGTATGAGTTTGTATATACTTTATTTATTAAAAAAAACTTTAACTTAACAATTATTTAGTAAATTTTAATATTGATAAAAAATTAATAATTAAGCAAAATAACTCTTACGGGAATTGTTCAACTTATAGTAAGATATACAAGGGCTCTTGGCGCTTTCTCTTATTGGTTGACTTGAGAAGAGAGTGAATGTTTTATGAGGGGGGACTTTTATGAGGTGTCTTGGAACACTTCTTCCTCACCGTCTCCATAGGAATAGTCACACTTATTATAAAAGTCAGCATCCTCGGATATTCAGGTAGCAACATATATGCATCCTTATGTTCTTCTCACTCAGTTCTACCAATTTTGTTTAGCATCTAGCAGAACCCTAATTTTCAGCATTTGAGTTTTTGTCTAATATTGTTATTCCCAATCTAATTAGTATCCCATTGTGTCAATTTCATAAGATGTTCTAGCAGTAATGACTCC